ACAGCAGTATGTCTGCGGACTTATATCGCTAGAAACCGGGTTTCGATATCCGTGGTGTGCAAAGCACAGATAGCCCTTTGTGTAGCTTTGTGCTTAAAAACAAACAACAACAACTTTTGTACTTATCTCAATCTGTGTTATGAATAATGCCTTTGAAGGTCAAGATGTCTATTTTATGTTTCAAATAAGGTTTTCATGAAAACGAAACAAGAAAGCCAAACAAATAGATTTATAGAATGCACAACATTCTCGACAATGTATGTTAAAACTGTACAAGCTTTCTTTTGTTTCTATGCGGCTCAGATTTGTAGATAGAAATAAGGCCATGTTTGATTTTTTTAGATGTATTATAATTCGAAAAACATTTAAGCTATTATGAACATCAATAAATGTAACGTAATTTAAAACCATTCTCATTATTCATTGGTCTGTTTATATATATATATTACTTCTTATTGAAATAAGCAATGAAACTGAATGTGGATTATTTTTAGGACAAGCTCATATGAAAAACTGCAAGCCTGTATTCATTCGCATAAGTGCTAGCATTTATAAGTCTTCAATTTCTAGTTCCAAATATTTTTTATCGATTAGCATACTTTATTTTCGTTCGTTGGTGGGAGGGGGGGGGCTGCAGTGCTTCTTAGTTTTGTTTCCAGGGCCATAATATATGAACTGTTTTGAAAAAAAGTACTTTTCAACATTACAATATAACTTAAGATTATAAGAATAAAGATATATTAATTTATTCATATATATATATTGGTTCTTAGCAAAATTACTAAAACTACTATTCTAAGATTACATTAAGTTCTTACTCTCATACTGAGAATGTCTCAGATTTATAAAGCTCGTGAACGAACATGTAAGGATTCTTTAAGCAGACAAACTTTTGCGAAAGAAGGTTCACATGCAAATTAATATGCTTCGTTTATTTGGATATTTCACTAATATCCCTTGCTTACTCTTCTAAAATTTCTATTCATAGATTTCTGTATAGATATAGATGAAACTATACTATCTAATCATATCTATTTCAATCCTAAGTTTTTAGTCAACAATTAATTAGGCAGATTTATAATTTGAACATCTTGTTTTTCTATGGATTCTACCAGTTGAACTGTTTAGCTGATTACTATTTAAGTATCCAGTGACAACTTTCTGTAATTGGAACGAATAGAAATGTCTGGAAGAGAACTCCTAGAACCTTTGTAACTGGCTCTAACATTGAGAAAAGATTCGGATTCTGCTCCATTAGACACGGGCATCGAGGTCTGAGAATAAAAGTCTGACCACGATTGCTTACTGTCGATAAGTTTGACTTGGCAAGGATCAGTCACGTGATGCCGAGACAGGAAGTGTTCCAGTGTATCCCAACCTCCACCCACTCGGACCATTACGTGACGGCCTTTCAAGAGCTGAAATGAAGTGAGAATATTTTAGTTTCTGAAAATAAATAGTTGAACAAAGGTAATGTTGTTTAGCCAGTTTATTATGCGAACATTATAATTATCATACTTTGACTATGTATTTTTGGACCCCACCATACGCACACATTTGTAGAACATTCCGTTTATTTGCACATACAAAACAGACGGATCGTGTAATATATCAGTTAATAGACTGATTTGTATAAATACGAAGATGTAGTCAAACTTGGATTAATCTGCATGAGAAATAATAAGAGTAAGAAGCATTCTGACTTTCAAAGGGACGCGATGATTAGGATCTGTTTAACAAAAGCGTCACTATCTAAAACTTTTTTTAACCAGCTATTCAAAGACACCTGCTACTAAAGCCTATCAATTGTGTGGAGCAAAATATATACATTTGTCACTAGAAAAACTGTAGAAACCGAGAACAGACACTTTTTGGAAGGTATATGAAGCGCAACAAACTTCAGATGTCTCTCACTATGTACAAGAAATGGCGAAACACTGTCGACAATCATGCCTAAGACTGTTTATTTCAGATGTAAACACGAAGAAAAAGTTTCAGTAATGCTTAGAGAGAAAATCATGGGCAATGAGCGACTGGAAACGTGTGACGTAATCTAATGAATCTTACTTCATTTCTTTTGGTACTGATGGTAAATACACGGAGAAAATTACATGACTAGACCTTACATGCTTCATTACGACAGTAAGAGCTGTTGGGAGTGGTGTAGTTGTTTGGGAAACATTCTTTGGGCAGATGTTTGGGTTCTACATACATGACTAGACCTTACATGCTTCATTACGACAGTAAGAGCTGTTGGGAGTGGTGTAGTCGTTTGAGAAACATTCTTTGTGCAGATGTTTGGGTTCTACATACATGACTAGACCTTACATGCTTCATTACGACAGTAAGAGCTGTTGGGAGTGGTGTAGTCGTTTGGGAAACATTCTTTTGGCAGAGGTTTGGGTTCTACACAATGGTAAATAATGATTTGTTTGTTTTGTTGAATGTTGTGCAAATCTACTCGAGGGTTAGCTGCGTTAGCCGTTCCTAATTTAGAAGTGAAAGACAAGAGAGAAGGCAGTCGGTCAACACCACCCATCGCCAACTCTTAGGCTACTCTTTAGTAAAGAAAAGTAGGATAGGGCATCACATATTACGCCCTCAAGAGAAAGGGCGAGCATATTCATTGTTGGGATTCGAACCCGCGACCCGTAGATTAGAATCAAGTGCCCTAACCACCGAATCATAGCCATAGCAAGCTAGGCGAAGGCTGAATAGTATCTAGGAGCATATCCACCGGACAATAATGGATTCTTGTCACAGTAGAAAAGGACAAGGCGCTAATAGCAAACCCACAACTGTATTATTGTTCAGAATTCGTTAAAGAGAGATTTCAGGCAAGCACAATCGCGGGATCTTAATCTGATTGATCGTTTTTGGAATGAAAGTGAATGTTACATTCACAACAAGAATCCTCTGCTGACCTAAACGAAGTCTTTAGCTAAAATCCAACAAAAATACCTTGTGAAATTTGTAGAGTCCACAATACGCCAAGTTCAGAATAGTCCACTCAAATAGTATTGAGGAGGGATCCTAATAACTTGGCCAGTCAATGTATATTGGTATTTGTAAATATATTTATTGTGTTTTTTGTTCTTCTAACACTGCAGGTATGCGTTTTGATAACCCATTGAAAATTCAGTTACTACACAATATGATTATCTAAGTTTGTGAATATTTTTTTTAATTTCATTACATACTGGATTTCAGTTCTTTTATTTGCTTATTAACCGTTTACAAATACATATTTCTTATACATGGCTCAAAACGTTAATTTTTCAGGTAACTATCTCTTTGTTTTTTCGAAATACATATGAAGTTGTCAGTTTTCTGTGGAATCAACAAGGAAAATAAGAATGAGCTATGCATGGTTAAGATTGTCTTAACACTTGTAACAAATACGAGAACTGTGGTAATGAAAAGGGCGTACAGTAAGCGAATGACGTATTTGTAAAAAGACCAACAGATCAGCAGACCTTATAATTTCTAATACAGAAACAACCTTGAATGATTGTAAAATATATTTATAAACATATTGCAAAAATATGAAAAGAAAACTCACTCTCACAAAAACACTTTTCCCAGCAACGTTGTATCGGCCTTCTGAAATTCGTTTTACTAGTGTGTTATCTTCCAAAACATCTTCAGCAATTTGCATCACCTATAAAAAAATATTTCCCAAAGTTATTAGCTGCGCAAGGTTTTATTTTTAACTATCACATATTGTGTCAACTTCTAAAAAATAACTAAGTCATCTAAGAACAAGAAAGTCAACTTAATTTACAACTTGTAGGTCAACATAACAGCCACAATAATTAAAGGTGATCTTCATAGAATGTGTAATTATTATTTTTTAAAAGCTGTAATTGTGTTTTAAGTTGAAAGTAAGAACTATAATGCTTTACGTAGTAACAGGAATATTTTCTGATTTTGTTTCTAAACGTGAGGTGCACAAGCACAGTTTTAGTTTCCACACAGAACAAATAAAAAAGTCTATTACAGTTGAAATGTTGCGCGACTTCTTACTGCTCTTACGAATGGCATTCTAAATATTAAAATTATACATTTGTCTAAGTAATTTGCGATGGTTTGATACAGAAGATTGCTCATTTGTTTTGAATTTCACGCAAAGCTATCTGCACTAGCCTTCCCTAAGTTAGCAGTGATAGACTAGAGGGCTAGTTAACACCACCCACTGTCAACTCTTGAGCTATCCTTTTACCAATGAATAGTGGGATTGACCGCCAAATTATAACACACCCAAAATTGACATGTTCGATGAAAGGGATTCGAACTCGCGACCCACAGATTGCGAATCGAGCGCCCTAAAAACCAAGCCATACCTGAAGCCAAAGATGTTGATGTTGTTTGAAGTTAAACACAAAGCTACGCAATGGGCTATCTGTAATCTGCCCACCACGGATATCGAAACCAGGTTTCTAGCGTTGTAAGTCCGCAGACATACCACTGTGCCACTGGGGAGCAAAACAGAAGAAGCCTCGTTATAAAAGCAATGCGTTTCTTTATAACATGTTGAGAAATCATTTCAGTTTTGCAATAACACGTCATTTGTGAGATATTCGTTAAAGAGGAAGTATTATTGTTTAATTTACATTTGTATTAAAAGTGAAGCTTAGATTTTCGCTGTTACGTTTAAAAACAAAAAAACAACCAGGGAATGTTAGTGCACTTTTTTGTTCTGTATTGTTATTATCTCATAGTTGCTGTATATACATATATCTGATTTTTTTAGTATAATTGTCTTTGCGAGAAATAACAGTAGTATTTTAAAATGTTACTCACTTTTTTGTCCAGATCTGAAGACTTCGGTCGAGATGTCGTTCGTATTTCGCTGAATCGGCCAGGACTGGGTGACGAAGGTGCTGTAGATGGATTTTGCCTAACAACAACTGCCATGGAATTTTTTGAATCTGTTCGAGTGCATATGGGAGTCGGGGATGGAGTGGAGGAGGAATATTCTGTTGATTGAATGGGAGTTCTTGTTGAATGGACTGGGATTAGAGATGGAGTTGGGGAAACAGACTCTGGGTCCGAAGGTACTGTTGATTGAATGTAATCCATTCTTGTTGAATGGACTGGGATTAAAGATGGAGTTGGGGAAACAGACTCTGGGTCCGAGGGTACTGTTGATTGAATGTAATCCATTCTTGTTGAATGGACTGGGATTAAAGATGGAGTTGGGGAAACAGACTCTGGGTCCGAGGGTACTGTTGATTCGTGTTCATCTATCTCCTTCTCCAGCTTAACGAGTCCTGGTGGTTCGATACCATACTTTGTGGCAATTCTTCCAAGTTCCAAAAGACACAACACCACAGAACGAGGCTGAGTGTGCAGAACTAAATTAGAGAGTCAATATCATAGAAAAAGTCCTAAAAGTTATGCTTAAATATAACTTTAAATATTAGTAAAATTGTTTTACAAGCTTAAAGGGATATTTTTAATATTAAAGAAGTTAAATCACCAAATTTCATGATCAAACTAGTTTTTCAGACTTAGTTTTAAAAACCATTTCCCGAACTTTCGAGGTTGAATCCTATTTGATTCTGCAGCTTCAAACTTTCCCCATCTCTTTAGTTGAAAACTTGTGAGACATATACGACTCAAACTAATATCTATCTGTTTCAAATCCATTAAACACAGCTCTTTGAACTTAATTTTACCTACTTTTAAGACTAGATCTTACCTAGTCCTTCAGACTCAAACATAACAGCTTCCCGAACACCAAATTTTCGGCACCATTTCAGAAAGTTTTCTGTATTTTCTCTTGCAAAAAAAGACTCAGATCTTGCGTTTTCCCAACATTTAAAGGACATATCTGGAACAACCTGTGCAGAACAGTAAACCACATTATCAGATATTAAGTGCAGAACTAATGTTTCATGGTGGAAAACAATCATAAGAATTCACAATAAGATACATATCCTTTAAAAAAAAAAACACATAAACCTAAGATCTCATTAAATAATCTAACGATAAATCGTGTTCTCTAATAATTTCTGAAGATCTAACTTGAAAATAGGAAGTAAAAAATACAGCTAAAGTGGCTTTCTAGGGAAGCATTATCACCCACATTTAGTAGAATATATTTGGTACTATATTTCAGCAATGTAAATCTTTAAAGAAAGTCGAACGGTTTGTAAATACTCGAACATGTACTAAACATAAGATATATAAGGTATATGAGATAGATATGTATCCTACTTTTCCTTTAAATGTCCTAAAACATCTGAGAATATATCAATGTTAGCTGTATAAATGGGCACAGGTTATGAAACTGCACAAATCACAATTAAATAATCCAATGGTTCAAGTCCCTTTGGATAATATAAAATACTTATCAGTTTCTCTTTTTTTTTGTTTTACAATTTACCTCTGATATTGGAAGCTGTTTAAAATACTTGTTTGCTGAATAATTCAAAAGAACTTAGTAGCATCAATGCTACGTATTCTTCAGATTCTATATGAATATAAGTTCACTATGGTGGATGAAAGACAACATTCAAAACACCATATATCTAATATACACTCCGCCACTATATAAAGCATAGTCTTTTTCTTGCAGTTTGTCCTAGTCCAGGGTTAATGGTGAGGGTTGGAATCCTTCCAGAATTATTATAACTCAGTTACAAGTGTTAAATTGAATGATATATATTTGGCTTAATATTTATTTTTAGTATTTTAAACAGATTATCTGATGAATAAGAAAAACAACAACATTAGTCGCATCAATGTTACGCATTATTCAAATCCTATTTAAATATATATATATATATATGTGGGTTTACTAAGGCGAGAAAAAAAACAACTCAAAACATCATACTTATAATATGAACTCCACCACCATATCAAGCCTAATATTGTTATTTTGTTTTGTTTTGACTGGTTGCTGAGGAGGAGTGGAATCCCCCGAAACGGGTATAATTCAATTGCAAGTGGTGAACAGAATTATAAAATATAATATCTGTTTTTAGTTTCACAGAAAAAATGCTCTAAAGTATATTAAAGCCATTAAACGATCAAGGAGAAAGTAATCAGTCACCCTTTTCTCGAGTAAGTCTGGACTATTGTTTCATTTTCTCTCCAACTTAAAAGTTACTCACGAGATTTTATTCTCCCTGGAAAGCATTTGGAATCTTATCGTAGAAAAACTGAACATAAGGGTCACAACAAACCAGCAGTTTTTTTCTATCACTGTGTATTGAAAAGGTAGTATGAGCAAGGCATTGTATCTTCTCATAAAATTACTAACGGTATGTCATTCTCTCTCACAATATATATAAATGAGAGATGACAATCTCCAATTCAAAATAAAATTTATGTTCTTTGAAATTTTGTTGACAACTTTTAATAATTAGAAACCAAAGCTGCACTTGAAGTTCAAAAGCTTTTTAAACAAAATGCTTCTGATGTGAATCCCCAAACAAACAGGTTTGTAATTTTTACATTCAAGTGAAAATAGGAGCTCGTATAAATTAAGTAGAGCCATTATAAGACGAATATTGAAAAAAAGATTCGCATTCTAGGTTGAAAACAAAATCAAAAACAGGGAAAATAACAAAACAATGCCTTTGCCTTCTAAAAATAAGGAAATGTGTTCAAAAGAAAAATAGGAGAAAAAAAAAGGACTACTGTTCCTAAATGTGATTCTACAATTTTTCTAGGTGTAAGGCAATGTATTATAAACAGAAGTGACTGCTGTTCTCTAGATCTTGAAAATGTATTGAAAAACAGGAAAAGGAATAAAAATATTTCTGTAGCTCCCTAGGTGAGACCTTACCTTCCAGATATCAAGAAATGTGTTGAAAAACAGAACTAAACAACGACTTTTGTTCTCTTAATGAGACATTGAAGAACAAAAATAAGAGAAAAAATATTATTTTCTGAGCATGACTTCACCTACTGTTGGAACAGAAATAAGCGTTAAAACAATGATACCTTTGTTTCGTGTCTGTACCTAACGTACATTGTTTGTGGAAAATTCTAAAACACATAAAAAGTAGAATGACTAGAGTTGTTGCCGAGGGTCAACAATAAATAGAAGAACTGATATAGTCAAAGATAAGATTTGGTTTTCTTTTTAGCGCAAAGCTACGCATTGGGAACTTCACAGAATCGAGCCCCGGATTTTAGCGCTGTAAGTCCGTAAATTTTACCGCTGACCCACCGAAGATCAAGAGAGAAGGAAGAAACTAAAAATTCATTAATAGTTCTGTGTTTCTGTTGACTTGTACGACCACAGTATTATTCATGTAAAGGTACAATACTTATATACAAGTTAAAAATGATAGTCAGTTATAATTTATAAAGATTTGCATATGTTCTTGATTTATTTTTTGTTTCGTAAAATAATAAGCATTCGCAATTGGAAAATAAAAATAACAATATTGGTTCCGACCTGAACTCGTGTGTTCGACAGCTCCAGTTGGACGAGAACTAGTTTTACCACCACGTTGGAAACAATGTAGTGGTATAACAAAGTCTGTTAATGAAAAAATGTACGTACACAAGTTTCGTAAACCGTTTCCATATTTCTAAACATAAATAGTGAAGAAAATTATGCCAAGGTTAGAAATAATATATATATTTTCTAATGACCTGAATCAGTATATTCAGTAAATAAGCGAAATTATACCTATGATAACTGAAAACCTTAATTATTTTCCGTGTGAACTGTAGTTACACTATTTCTTAAAAGTTTTTAATACTTTTATTCAACCTTTTCAAATCAAATTACATATTTACAACAACCCTTGATTATTACATAAATCGGCCCGGCATGGCCAGGTGGATAAGGCGCTCGACTCGCAATCTGAGGGTCGCGGGTTCGAATCCGCATCCCACCAAACATGCTCGCCCTTTCAGCCATGGGGGCGTTATAATGTGACGGTCAATCCCACTATTCGTTGGTAAAAGAGTAGCCCAAGAGTTGGCGGTGGGTGGTGATGACTAGCTGCCTTCCCTCTAGTCTTACACTGCTAAATTAGGGACGGCTAGCGCAGATAGCCCTCGTGTAGCTTTGCGCAAAATCACAAAACAAACAATTGCATAAATCTGCTTACATCACATATCACTAACCCAGTATAATATACTGGTCACATCACATATCCCTAACATAGTATAATATCCTGGTCACATCACATATCCCTAACACAGTACAATATCCTGGTCACATCACATATCCCTAACACAGTATAATATACTGGACACACCACACACCCCTAATCCAGTACAATATCCTGATCAAATCAGACACCCTTAACACAGAAAATATCCTGGTTACATCATACATCCCTAACACAGTATAATATTCTGGTTACATCACACATCCCTCATACACTACAACATTCTGATTATGAAACACATCTACAGAATCCTTATTACATCGTCTCTTACTGACACTCTATTGAAAGTTTATAATTTGCTTGATAAAATTTCTGTGATAAATATAATTTATTTGGTTCTTAGTGGAATTGAGGTTTATTCTCCTCTTTCATTGAAAAGGGTTATAGTTAACTGGTCGCGCCCCGCAAAACATTTGCGATAGTTTTCATGACCTTCGCTTGAATTTTCCTTATTTTATCATTTTTACGCACGCCATTTAGGTTACTCTTTCTTGTAGACAGTATGTGTTAGAACAATAAATCCTGGTCTATTTGAAAATATTTTATGCAGTCAGACAAACATACTCACGTAGACGTAACTTTATTTAATAAAACAACTGCACTTAAAGTAAAGTAATAGTATTTATAATAGCGTACAGAGTATGAAAGAGTTACGAGCATTCAGTGTATGACAGGTCTTACGAGTTGAAACAAAGAAACTCACAACGACGAAAAATAAAACCCATAGTAAAGAAAAAAGTAAGTAAAAGGTGTTTATAGCAATCTACAAACTATCCGTAGCTAAATTATTGCAAAGTAAAGTAAATGTAAAGTTGTAATGAAGGCAAACTTAGCTGAATATGCAGAAACGTCTGCAAACGTGTTCACAAAGTGATAAGTTTATTGGTTTTGAATGAACTGCGCTCACGTGTTTTAGACATAAATAAGTCGAGAAAGCCCATAGAAATTGTATTTAGTGTAATGCTAATTTTTACGAAATTACACGCGAGATAAGTGTTCTTTCTGCGAAATATTTTACAAATAGAAAAACTAAAGTTAAAATCGAAGTCATTCGTCATGTGAGGACAACGATATTGGACCATCGTGTACCATACTCGTTGCATTGAAAAGTTTGACTAAGTAAAAACAGGTAAGGTGGTTCTGAATTGAAAAGCTATCATGCAATCTGAACTCCTAGGACAATGATCTTTCTATCGATATGAGATTTGTAGCGTTTGATCGAGAAATTTGTGAGAAAAGTTCCGGACAGGCAAATGCAAGACAATTATTTATATAGATTTCATCCTAGAAAAGGTGGGTTTGAAAAAGTTCTCATGGTTCCAGAATTTTGCTTACACCATCATTCGTTACACCCTGTAGATATAATCGTAGATATTGAAACTGACCTCTGAGGTTAAACCCTCCCGTCGACATCTCTCTGCTTTCTGTTGTATCAATTTAGCAAGTTTACAGATGATGACACCGTTATCCAAGGCTTCCATGAAGTTTCCAACCGTGATAGTATCTATATCTGTGAATAAAAAAAGTTCATGTTATAAAATATTTCCCAAAATATTAACTGTATAGCTATGACTGAATATATTATTTTAGCCACAAGAAGAAAAATACGAGTTATATTTGTACCATCTTTATGGGATGCAGTAGTAATATTTTTTATTTTACGATATTAGATTGATTTTGACAGCCCCCTAGGTCACATAATAAAACAGCAAACAGTAGCATTTATAAATCTCATCAAGTTTATGCTTACATTGTTTGTCTAACTGATCACAAATTGAGTATTTCCTTTTATTTAGTATTTACTATTTGAATTCGTCCCTCCAGACGGTCCTAGATACTTTATGGTAGGATACATTATCCTGCTGGAAGACCACATTGGCTGGCTGATATAAACACACACACATTCTGCTACGTTCGTTGGAACATGTTCATTTATAACAATTTGATAACCACTGGAAGTAAACTTGTAGGCACTTCACAGGTACGTTTCACACTAATGAATAGAGTTTCGCCTATACCTTACTACATTTCTCTCCTCTACACACGATTCTTTACACTTGACCCAACACAACTGTTATCATATCCTGTACAAAAACATGTGGGTTGATTTCAGATATTTCGCATGAAAGTTTAACTATATAATGTCTTTCAACAACATGCAAACGAATTTGCCTACGGATCTATATGTAGGTATGACGAAACTTATCTGACAGCTTTTAAGTTACTTTACCAACAGTAGGTTTGACCGTCACTTCTATACCGCATCCACAGCTCCAAAGTGCGAAGCGTGATTTTTGTTGTTATTGTTGTTGCGGTAACAGGATGTGAGCCATGGACACTCGGATCCACAATCTGACATACTACTCAATAGGCCACGCTCGACCAAAGGAGAAAATAAAACTTTCTTTCAGAAGCATATAACAGTTGATATTTTCGAGGCGTCTCTACAAGCTTGAATAAGAGTAATTACGAGTGTCAAAGCCTATGGCTGTAATAACTCTCTCTCTAACGGTGGACTCTTTCGTTTGAAAGATAACAACTTTTAAGTCATTGAACAAATTTGAAATTTATTTATCAACTATATTTATTACCCTATTCATTTAGGCAAATAAGCTTGTACGAGTATATTCTTTAATTTACTGTTAAAACAATTATATAAATATATATATATATATATATATTCATAATTTAAGTTTGTAATAGCAATGTTCGATTAAAATGTGTAACCCCACTTTCTCATTGCCGTGCATATTGAATCTTAATTTTTTTTTTATTTCAATGTTAATCTATTCAGGTAATACGTGAACCACAATATCCAGTGGTATAGAGCATTTATTTCTAATTACAAACATACGCCAGTACTTACGCAAGTTTCGATTGATCCAGTTGGCTAAAATAACTTTCTGAGATTGCAGAAGATTTCTTCCACGTTCGGAAAGAAACATATTGCTTGACTTCATACGGACCACTTGACAGTTTAACTAGATAATATTTTTAAATAACACGTGAAAGAACTTGCCTATAGATCTATACGTATGTGTGGCGTAACATATTGAAAACATGACACAATCACGAGGGCCCATTTAATTTTCAGAATAGAAATTTTAAAGCGTGCAATCCTTGCATGGACGACGAATCAAAGAGAATAACATAACAGACACACTAACACCGCTCACTTTTTTTTTAATGTCACCGGTAGGATTTTATTAATTGATAGCCAAAACTTTGTGAAAAGGTAAACCATACAAATGGCTACTAAGAATCAAACCTTTGTCGAATACAACACCTTATAACAATAGAAGTGAACATTTTCACTTTCTGAGTAACAAAGGAAAAACCTGCGTATTCCATCAGAAACCTGACAGTTGCCGTTAAAGTCGCCATCGAACCAATCAAGAAACTTAGTTGAACTAGAAGATAAAAACAACAACTTAATTGTACCAGAAGATAAAAACAACAACTTGTTTTTCGAATTATTTGGAAAGTATAGACTTTGAATCCAATGTTAAGATTTTTTTTTTATATTTCCTCTGCTTGCCAGAGTGGATAGAAAAGAAAACCGGTCAGTTGTTCGAAGAACACGTACTCCCTATTTCACGGGACAGCCTATATTATTTCACACAGTGCAGTAAACAATATGGAAAACGAGTTAACTACTTAAAATTGTTCAACTCGATAACCATGCGGTTAACGTCAGCCCTATAGCGGAGCAGATTTCATTAAAAAATTCTGTTGACCTCCAGCCATAAACCTGTAACCTATTGTTGTTTGAGAAAAGCTTGTGTCTCACAAAAGACTATACAACAAGAAAACTGTTTCAGACATGTAGTGCATGTATACGTTATGAATAATGTTTGTGTGTCATTCTAACAGTTCATGTTCTCTATTGGTTGGATTGAAACCGAATTGTACTGAATACCGCGTGAACGCCATGTTCAATACACAGCCTCAAGCGCCTGCTTATATTGTAAAGATACAAACATGGTTAATGTATTTAAATACAATGAAAACTTCTGCGGTCTGGTTTGTGATGCTACAGTTAAGTTTTTGTAGCTAACAATTTTATTAAACAGTTTTTAAATATTACGTGGTAGTTAATAAGAATAGTGTGTGTGTTTTTATAGCAAAGCCACAGTTACACCGAGGGGAATCGAACCGCTGAATCTAGCGATGTAAATCTGTAGACTTACCGCAGTCGAGTTTCTTTGTCGATTCAGCCTAAAAAAAAGTTGTAGAGTAATCAAAGATTACTGTAAATGTAATCAAAGGTTATTGTATGATTAATCATAGGATATTTTAAGTGTAATGAAAGATTATTGTAAACGTAATCGAAGGTTATTGTGAGTATAATCAAAGGTTATTGTAAGAGGGCAACAGACAATTTAATACATGTTTAATTAGGCGGAAGTCATTACTCTATCCTTTCTGAGTGATGTCAAGATTAACAAAGCATGAGACAGTGAACACAACATTTAATTAACCCATTTAGCTGTGTATTATGAAACAAACTGAGTATAAAACTGAGCTGGCTTGAAATGAGAAATTAAAGTGAATCATTTTTTATATAATTTTTGCTTCGTCTCTTTATGATTCAAAAGTCATATTATTCAGCCCTTTTACAATTTATTTTTTCATCCTGTTGGTTTTAGACTTCTATTATACATGATGATCGAAAGGCGGTGAAAAAAAAAATAGCAAAATGCTACTGAAAAGCTTTGACTACCCTTCTTTCTGAAAATTCGTACTGAAACACTAAAGAATGCAAAGAATACGATGTTAAAATCAATATCAGTATTATTGTAATGTTTTATCACATTTGTTAACGTTGTTAAAATATTTGTACACCGCGACTTTCGACGTCACATTAAACAACTCAATGACACTTAAAATAATGGTTGAAAACAGCGTGAAAACTAAGCATTTTTTGGCATCGTTACATGAGCTCTGGCAAGGAACGAAAGGTCTATTTTGCAGAGGTCTATAGCAGCAAAGAATAACCTGTGTAAATATTTGTTAGTTTTCCTAAGATATTTAGCCATATTGTTACGTCTGTGTTCGTTTGTTAATTTTTCGTAGAAATTCTTTCCGAGAAACTTCAGCGATACAAGTACTTTCTTAAATACAACTAGTTTATTCTTTCTCAATTCAACTTTGCAATACACTTAATTTCTACAGTCACTTTAACTTAAACACACGCTATAATTCACAACGATTCGATTCACGCACTTTACTCAATTGTCCGTCTTTATTTCTTCAATCTGAAGTTATTCATATTTATATCGTCACTCCTCGCCAGTCTTATATATACGAAATAGAGAT